GTGGTTTGATAGAATCCATTTCATACGCTGTAACTTCAAATACATGCTTTTGTTGTCATACATTACTGCAGTCCCCGAACTTTTGGATCATACCATGTATAAAATTAGTTATGCAAAAAATTTGAAAATAATAATGATTATATTAAGGATTTACAAACAGAGTTAATTGATTTGGCCTGTGTACGGCTCATATAATTAAATACACTCAAACAAACCTTTACATATACAGCTGTAATTTAATAGATAAATTCAAACGTTTTTGACCATATTCAATGGTCTTTATCAAGAAAAAAACTGAACAATTGAATTTCGAACTTAAAATATGCGTTACCGGTACAAGAGTTATTTTTGGAACATTTTTAAAAAAGGTATTCTATCATATAAGCACCATCTCTACATATTGGCTGTAATTACAGTAGTTAAAATAATACCAGTAAAATACATTAAAATACAATAAAGTGCAGATAGAAACAAAAGTTAAGAGAGTTGCCACTTTGCTAACTTTCTTGACTCTTATAGTATGCATGTTCGCCATGCTGCCGATATTTTGCTTGCATCCCGGAAGTTGATAGCTAAACCTTTTTGGCTTGTTTTGCAGATATGCCAGGCTTCGGCATATCTGAGGTGCTTTTTGTCACATACTATTTGTATCAATTTAGCTCAGTCCCACTCCGCTTTGACCTCTTGTGGGTCGGCTAAGACGTACGTCGCCAACGCTGTGCACGGCTGTTCTTTTCTTATGTTTCTCTGGTGCTCTAACAGCCTTTGTTTGATGGATCTTCCAGTAGCTCCGATGTAGAACATCATATTCTGCCTCCGTTTGTCTGTAACCAGGATTCTGTAGACTCCTGGAAGAGTGTTCTTGTCCACAGCATCTTTGTCTGCCCTTAGCAACTGATAAATAGTGGAATTCCTTTTGTATATTATTCTTTTCTTTGTAGCAGCTCCTATTCGCCTATACACGTTGCTTAGCGAGGCCTTGTATTCCATCGTTGTGAACTCTTCTGTATTTTGTAAACTTCTCATCTTGCTACGTGTCTTACATTGGCTTTTTATAGCTTTAATATTAATTCCGTGTCTCTTAGCTAGTTTATTGATATAACAGAGCTCTTCATTTCTGTCCTGGGTACTGCTGCAGTGCGAATAAGCTCGCACGATGAGCGCCCGAATGCGGCTAGCTTATACTTAGGCGGGTCATGTGAATTCCATGGGATAAATATCGGGTTGCACATAGGCTTTCTATAGACTTTAGTGAGAAAATTCCCTTTGCTGTCAAGTTGTATATATAAATCCAGAAAGTGTATGTGCGTATTACTTTCTGCTGGAGCTGCTACAAAGAAAAGAATAATATACAAAAGGAATCCCACTATTTATCAGTTGCTAAGGGCAGACAAAGATGCTGTGGACAAGAACACTCTTCCAGGAGTCTACAGAATCCCGGTTACAGACACACGGAGGCAGAATATGATGTTCTACATCGGGGCTACTGGAAGATCCATCAAACAAAGGCTGTTAGAGCATCAGAGAAACATAAGAAAAGAACAGCCGTGCACAGCGTTGGTGATGTACGTCTTAGCCGACCCACAAGAGGTCAAAGCGGAGTGGGACTGAGCTAAATTGCTACAAATAGTACGTGACAAAAAGCACCTCAGATACGCCAAAGCCTGGCATATCTGCAAAATAAGCCAAAAAGGTTTAGCTATCAACTTCCGGGATGCAAGCAAAATATCGGCAGCATGGCGAACATGCATACTATAAGAGTCAAGAAAGTTAGCAAAGTGGCAACTCTCTTAACTTTTGTTTCTATCTGCACTTTATTGTATTTTAATGTATTTTACTGGTATTATTTTAACTACTGTAATTACAGCCAATATGTAGAGATGGTGCTTATACGATAGAATATCTTTTTTAAAAACGTTCCAAAAATAACTCTTGTACCGGTAACGCATATTTTAAGTTCAAAATTCAATTGTTCAGTTTTTTTCTTGATAAAGACCATTGAATATGGTCGAAAACGTTTGAATTTATCTATTAAACTAGCAGACCCTGCCGTGCGTTGTTGTGGCTCAAAATGTATCTATTATAAATGTATAACACTTCCCCCATGGGGGGGAAATTTTTTGAAAAATCCCTTCTTAGTGTACATTCTGTTGACGTGCCCTATTAAAACACAATCAAAAACGCAAAAAAACTGCATCTAAAATAGTATAAATAGAAGCAGAGTTCTTTACAGTAAGCCTTAATCCTAACCATCTCCCTTCAGTGGGAGGAATTTCGACACGTATATCATATAAAAACACGTGGGTATTCGAATGTGGTGTTGTGTGAAAATTTCAAAGGAATCGGTAGNATACTTTTTTTCTCAACTTCTTTAGGTTTTCCTAATTTTTTCTGATCAAGTACTTTTCTTTGAAAGTCTACTAAATATAATTCTTTTACTTCATCATCTGTGAATAAAAAAATATTTTTTATATTCTTAAAACAGAGTTAGAAATATCTTTATAATACATTAATGATTTTTATATCCAAGCTTAAAGTACTTTAATTAACCATATATAAAAGTCTAGAAGTTATATAAATATTTAAATGCAAACATTTATGGCATACATATAACATTCTTCAGCATATTCTTTAAATTTCATGCATTCTACTCAATGTTACACTTCATTCTGCTTGAAATCTAGATTAAAATTTTCTATGTTCTATTCCACTCTGATGTATGTTGGCTTGAGAATGGAATAATGTATGCTGAATACATTTTCATTTAAATATTTATGTAACTTGCTGGCTAATATATATAGTTTATTAAATTATTTTAAGCTTAAATAGCTTTACTAAATCATACTTGGTACATTTCCATCTGTTAAACTTTCATAAATTTTAGCTTTCTTCTCCAGAACAGTTCTATAAAAAAATAAAAATAAATAATAAGAAAAATATGCTAAAATATTATTTTTAAAAATTAAATTGAATTTATTAATTTCTTTAAGGGTTAGAACCCCTAGAATGGGGAAAATACATTAGTTAAAATTATTATAAAACAAAAATAACATAGTATAACAAGTATCTTTTACAACATAATTTCATACAATATCATTTTTATAAGAAACACAACTGAAATTATAATTAAATTCAATTGTAATTTGAGAAATTTTTGTACAATAAAAAAGCATATTTTGTAATAAATAGCCACCATCACTCACAGAACCGACATATATCTGACTTGTGAGCCAAACACAGATATCCCTGTTTTTCCATACAAAAAACAAGAACTTGCTTAAACAGAATTGAATGAAAAGTTTTCCAAATTAAAACTAATATTTTGGTTGTAGATTATAGGAGGATCACAAGAGAATAAAATGAGTACCAAGGATGATGCAATGCTGCACTTATTTTAGAACATTCTGTATAAATAATCTTGAAAATTATAAACATCTTAGAAAGCATAGTTACATTTTCTGGATCAGATTCCAACAAAGTAAGGAAAATGGAATTGAGTTGAAATTTTCTAAAGTTGAGAATACCAATTATTATTATTTTTTTACACTGAGCTCTTTTAACTTTACATATGCTGCATATTCCAATGAAAGTGAGTTTTTCAAAATCTTGTTGATGAAACTAAATATATTAAAACAAACTTTTGAACTAAATATTCAAGATATGAGGATAAAAGTTAACTGCACAATAAGAAACTGAATGGTCTAGGTCAGGGGTGGCAAACCTATGGCACACATGCCCAAAGTGGCATACAAGAAGAAATCATCTGCACAAAACATCATATGATTTTGTTTTATCATCTTTCTTTTTCAATCACCTTTTTCATATTTATTCTAATTTAAGCATATTCATTTAATTTCTTTAAATATTGTTATTTGTAATCTAAAACTTTGGCATGCATAAACATCTTTAAAAGTATGACATGAGGGTTAAAAAAAAGTTCACCATCACTGGTGTGGGCTAAATAGTGTTTTAAAATACAACATATGTAATTTTGATAAATTATTAATTTGAAAAATGGTTTAATTTGAATACCATAAAAAGCAGTCTACCAATGAATTAGATTTAATAGAACTATGAATTTTGAATACTTCTTTTATTCTTGGCATAAATTTCTTAATATACTTAAAATGTTTGCCAAAAGTTAAAGAAATTTATTATTTGGGTATTGTTGTTAACTTTTTCTACATGATTATTGTCAATAAAAACAAGGACCATTACCAAATACAGTGGGTGATCGGTTAACGAACATAATCCGTTCCAAGACTTTGTTCGCTATCCGAATTGTTCGTTAACCGATTATCGATTTACCACAGGTTTTAATGGGAATTTAATTAATTCGTTCTGGAGACCCCTAAAAATAAAAAAATATATACTTTCTTACTATGTTTATTTATATGTAATAATAATAATACATACGTACACAGTCTTGCATTTTTATTAGTCATGTTTTTTTCCATTTGAAAGGGTTAAAGAATCTGTCTAATGTCGATTGCTTTTCTTGCTTTGTCAGGATTTTTTGTAAGTAATTAATAGCATTGCAATTGTAGAAATCTCCAAGCCTCAACCTGGTTTGGATGCCATTCTAAGACCGTTGTTCTGACATCCTCCCACTTCTTCAAAGGATCTTTAATAACAGATATCGACATTAATCCACTTTTTCAGAAGAAAACATATCTCGCTGAGTTTCTTGGTGTTCTTCATTCAAGAATTCTTCGCGGTCTTCAGTCGTCAGATAACTTTCGGATTCCATTATGAGCTCTTCGATGTTCTTTATTTCTCAGATATGATTTTTGTTACTCCTTTAGCTGCTTGAGTCTTCTTGATTATACAGTATTTTTCTCAAATTAGATTGAACTGCCGCATACTGTAGACCTGTTCAAGCCACACTGCCCAGCAACATTAGAAATCTTCTGCCCACTCTTTAATCTTTAGTATTATACTCTCACCTTTCGAAAATAAAAACCGACGCAAAACTTAACGAGTGCCTACC